AGCCGCCGGGCCCCCAGGGTTCCCCCGCCGCCGCGCCTCACCTGCACCCCGCTCCGCCCCGCGCGCGGCTGACCCGCTTTCCGGCCTGCGGGCCCCTGGAGCCTTACCTCCCAGAGCCTGCCAAGCCGCCCGCCAAGTACTTGCAGGACCTCGGGCCCGGCCCAGCGCTCAACGGCGGCCACTTCTACGAGGGCCCCGCGGAAGGTAACGCGCAGCGCAGGGCGTAGCGCCCAGCCCCGGCTCGCTCTCCTGCTTCCCCACACGGGCCCGCCCGGGCCTCCCCGCTTCTCTCCCCCTCGCCTATTTCTCATCTTTTTGCCCCTCTCTTCTTTCTCCACGGCTCCCTCAGAAGCTGGACTGGCGCTGGCCGGGCCAGGCAAAGGCCAATGCGGTGCGGGAGGCAGAGCCACCGAGTCTCCGGCGGCGGGAATAGGAAGCGGGAAGTCGAGGGAGGGTGGAGCGGCGACGGTCCGGGGCCCAGTCGGGCCCGAAGGCTGCCGGGGCCGGGAAGGAGAGTCATGCTTGGCCCGAATTGTTCTGGAACTGCCACCAACCCAGAAGCCCAGACCTGCCGCGGGCCTGGGAGCCGCACTGAGCCCTGACGCGGGGAGAGAAGTGCGGCTTTTGTGTCTGACACCCCTCGAGGGCCCAGCGGCTGGGCCTCTACCGAGAATGGCTAAACCGGGCTCGGCCGGGGGCTCGCCGACAACGAAATGCGCAGAAAGAAAACCAGAAGATGCGAACCGCCACCAAAACGGGGGAGAGAGAAGTTGAACAAAACGACGGAAGAAAGAGGCGAGGACGAGAGGTAAACGGCAGACGGCGAGCTGGCCAGAACGAAAAGGAGTAAATGACGAACGAACGAAAGAAAAAAAAATCAAGCGAAGATCGAACGAAGCGGGTAAATGGAGAAGCAGGGGAAGGACGAAGAGGGAGGGAGCAGACACAACGAAAGAAGGGCGGACGTCCTAAAAGAGTAGAACGTAAAACGAGGACAGGTGGGACGAGAAAATTAACGATTCAAGTTGAGCGGAGGACGGACAAACGAAAGGGACGGGTGGCCGGTGCGAGCGGGGCCCGGGCAGAGACCCGGCCCGAGCTGGGCGCGCAGCCCGCGTCTCCGCGGCAGGCAGAGCGGACGCGGCTGGTCCCGCAGTGCCGAGGCCATTCTTAAGGCGGAATAACTGTGTTCTTATTTCTCAGACTAACCTGGCCTCCCCGTCGTTGTGCACGGTGCTGGCCGCCCTTCTCGAAGTCTTGGCTTCCCCGCACTGATTGTCACCGCTGGGCCGTCGGGAGCAGCCCTGGGCGGCCCCAACCCCTGGGCGCCGGTGGCTCTCGGGCTGGTGCCCTGAGCGCTGAGGCTGCTTGGACCGCGTCATCACCCGAGAACGCGGCCGAACGCCGGGGCCTGGAAGGCTGGTCCGCAGCCCCGCTGCCGCCCACTGCGCCCGCTATTTCTCTGCTTTTAAAATAACGGGCTGGGAGCGTTTCCGATTTAGACCAGTGAGCGCGCAGCTGCGGCGCGGTCTGTGCGGAGGCCGGGCAGTTGCGGCTCGGGGGCCTGCGCCCCGCGCTCCTCTCCCGCTCGCCGCCCGCACCGCCTCGGGCTGCCCTTTGCAGGGAGCGCCCAGCCCGGCTATGGACACGGGCCG